AAATTTATATTCGTATGATCTCAGCTGGATTTGGTGCTTTCTAACCCCTCCCAAGAGCAGTGTCCCTGAATATGAAAGATGATTTTAAAATGCAACTGTTAGAGCTTTATGAAAGTGAGTAAAATTCTCTTCCATTCAAAGAGTTGAAAAAGTGGTAGCTTAGTTTTATTACTTAATTCCTCCACAAACCATGTTTGAAGCCATCACAATGCCCCAATGCACAAACCATGTTTGAGGCAACCTTGGGAGAAAACCATATTTGCATTCTCAGTGTCTAATAGACACTTACCCTATGGTTTGGATTTGGTACAAATGTGTTGAATAAATTAAAGGGCATTAATCTGTTCCCTGTCTTTCGGTTCTTGACTTTTAGGAAACTGCCTTGTATACAGTACATTAAGAACAAAGCACATACAGAAAATCACAAAGTATGATGTAATCGATTATTGTGGTACTTGTCCCTATTCCTTTCACAGTACGTCACAGGTTTTGAATTTTCTGAGTGATCAGTGTGTCTTTGTTATGCTCATGAGGCAACCAATAGAGGACCCTTGTGTATTTTTAAGGGCAGGGCTGGCCACACCAAGAAGACTAAGCCTGTGATTGAAAGTTGGAACATAAAGTTCTTGCCTACCCAAGGGACAAGAGAAGGGCTGCTGACTGAGTTCAATCACATGACCAATGATTGCATCAATAATGCCTGCATAATGAAACCCAAAGAAGAACTTCAGACACACTGATCAATAGAGCCTCCTGGTTGATGAATCTGTTAATGTGTGGGAGGGTGGCACACCCTAACTGTATGCAGACAAGCTCCAGGGCTCACAGTCCTCCCTGATCTTGAGCTCTGCATCTCTTCACCTGGCTGATCATTTGCATCCTCTACAATAAAGTAACGATCACAAGTAGAGTAACACCTGAGCTCTACGAGCCATCATAGTGAATAGCAACAGCCCTGAGAGAGTGGTAGAAGTCTTGACTTTGTAGTTGGCCTGGCAGAAGGGCAAGTGGCTTTCTGAATTCTGAAATTTGTGATGGGCATCTGAAGTGGGTCAGCCTTGTGAGATTAAGTGATCAATTTATGGGGTCTTTGCTAGTTCTAGGTAATGTCAAAATTGGGTTGAATTGAAAGATACTCAGTTTGTTAGAGAACTGGTATAAGAACACACAAAGAAAGTCTAGAAGAATTCCAAGGCATTTTGAGTATTTGTGAGTTTCTCTGATATGAACCAATGGGGAAAAAAGATCAAACATCATAATCCTATGATCTTATACTTTGTGAAACAGCTATATAGAACAAAAATAAATTGAAATTAGCTCTTAGTTATGGTGTAATGTTAGAAAAACCACTTAACCTTAGTGGATCATTTTGTGAATCAGATTGGCTGGGCCACAATGCCAAGATAGTTGGTCAACATCTTGGATGTTTCTGCAGGTGTTTCCAGTGACATTTAAACTGATGGACTTTGAGTTAAGCACACTGCCTTCTAGTGTGAGCAGGCTTCCTCTAGTTAGTTGAAGGTCTGATTAAAACAGAAGATTGATCTCCTCAGAGCAACAAGGATCAGACATCAACTGCAACATCACCAGTCTCTTCCTGGGCCTCCAGCCAGCCCACACTGCAGCTCGGACTTGCTAGCATCCATAATTGTGCAAATCAATTCCTTAATAGAAATTCTTTCTCTCATTCATTCATTCTTTTGTTCACTTTCTCTCTTCCCCTTACCCCTACATTGTTGGCCCTGTTTTCTAGTGAACCCTGAGTACTGCACTACCTTATATTGCTGTAGCAGGCATTAAATGAGATAATGTGTGAGTTTATGTCTTAAAGCACTATAAAACATGAGTATGATTGTCTGCTTAATACATATAATGCATAATGAAGCTTGCAGACATAAGCATTAATATTTACCAGTGTGGTCAATATTATAGACAAACAGATTCAAAATACCACAGAGGAAGTTTTAAGACAGGAATAGGTAGGAAAAGGGTGGTCTTGGCCTTCTGCTATGGACAAATGTAGAACTTGTGGGCACTGAGAGTCAATTTTGTATACACAGGAAACCACAGCTGAGTTGACTTAGTTCAATTTGTCTACCCAGCATCTGATGCAATACTTTGTACAAAGTTGTTGTCCAAATAATCGAAGAATAAATAACTTTTTGCTATGTGACCAACCAAAGCAGTATGTTTTTCTGAGTGACTAAGGTAGAAAGGGTCAAATACCAGAGTTAACATAAAACACATTAGCATATTGTATGGACGGTTAGAAGATGTGTGTGTATGAAAGCTAGCCCTGCTTTAGCAGAGTCAAATTTTAATAAACCATAGTCCACATGGTAGGCAAGAGAGCTAGATTAGCTTGGCTGGGGTGAGATCAAAGGTACACACTTTTGGCTGGTGTACATCACTCCCTTCAGCTTTGCCTCCTTGGACCTCTGCTGAACTTTACATAATAGCAAGGTACAAATACAGCTTTTGAGAAAAATCAAGACCACAGCACTAAATAAGTACTTTTAAACCTCAAGACTGCAGTATACGTCAACTTGTAGAGCCTAGGAACTGGAATGCTGTTTAGCAGGACAGCAAAGACTACCCAGTGTCACTTGTCACCTCAGACCTCTAGATGGCATTTCTTGTGGCAGTCAATGGCCAGTCTGGGCTTCATTAACTTTTTGGATTGTGGTTTATGTGAGCAGATATTTTGAGACTCGACCATGAAAGAATATGGTTGCTTTCAAAACATTCTAGGAAAAAAGCTTTAGGCTGAGAGGAAAAAAAAAAAAAAAAAAGACCAGACTTCTAGTCTTGTTGGCATTTTGGGAAGTATGTCATCATAATGACATTCCCAGGCTTCTCTGGATATGGATATAGCCGGCAAAGGAGAGACCGTCAAACCAGCTGCTTTAAGTGAAAACAACAGTGGCATATTATTTTCCACTTATGAAATCAGAAGTGACTTTTAAAAATAATTCCCTGTGTAACTGAGAGTGTATCCTTTCAGTCCTTTTTGAAGAGAAGAGAGCCATTTGGCCAGGAAAAAAGTTTTAAAGGGCATAATCCTTTGAACGTATCATTCCCTAAGACTTTATCCCATGAAAATAATTTTATCTTTGCCCAAATATATCTATTAATTTAGATTTAGCAGTCCTAATTAGGGTGAAAATTAGAAAGAAATGATGTCTGACAGTAAAGAATTACAGAAGGGAGCTTTGCCACACTCATATAAAGAAATATTATGTGACTACTAAAAATCCAGTTGATGAAGAACATACATAACAATAATATGAGATTCTGGTTATTATGTATGGTTAAATTAAAAGGCAGTTTGCAATGTACTATGCACCAAACAAGTCTATTTTTAATAGCAAAAGAGTAATCCAAATATGAATATGGAAGGAAAAGCTAGACTACCTATTAAAATGTTAACAGCAACTATTTGGGTGATAAGTTACAGGTGATTTTTTTTACCCACTTCCTTAGACTTCCCTTACAATTTTTCTATTATACATATTACATTCAAATGAGGGAGAAGGCTTTAAATATTTCAAACAAATAAACAAACAAAAACAACAAACAGTCAAAACTATGATAAACTAGGATTAGTTATTAATTCAGGAGCAAGAGCACTTAGTGCTTTGCCTACTTCCCAGCGTATTTCCAGAATTTTACATTCCAAGGCGTTAGCTTAAAATGATTCATTGGAAAAAAAAAATGATTCATTTTATGGTCTCACATACTCTAAAAGGTTTACGTTGTTGTCATTTAGCATGGACCATTTCCACCTATATTATGCTAAGCCCTGTGTAGCATGAAGTCACTTTGCTCAGTCAGAACTCTTGCGAGGAGGTGGCTGGAGACAGTCATCAAACATTAGCACATGGATGCTACCTTGAACATGGGGGTCTTGGCCCATTAGCTGTGACTCTGCGTGACAGTGAAATCTAAAACTGTGTCTACAGAAAAAATAATTGAGGATTGAGAAACCCATACATATATATCTTAGGTCCATCACAGCCTACTGAGGAGAAGTTAGAAATGTTTGGACAATTCTTAACCTCTGAGAGGCATCTGTGGGAGGAGAGAGAGAGAGAGAGAGAGAGAGAGAGAGAGAGAGAGAGAGACCTCCCCACAAATGGCCTCTGCTGTCCCTATCAGTGGATTGGAGGAATCATTTGCTTTATTCATGTCAACCTTCTGCTGGTTGGGTACTAAATTTGAATTTTTTTGTTTGTTCTTTTGATGTTTTTGAGACAGGGTCTCTCTGTAGCCCCCGCTGTCCTGGAACTCACTATGTAGACCAGGCTGGTCTCGAACTCACAGAGATCCACCTGCCTCTGCCTCCCAAGTGCTGGGATTAAAGGCGTGCACCACCACTCCCAGCTCTATTAAATATGAAATGTTTTAAAAGACTGTTCATGGAAAAGCTGTGAGTGGGGTAAGGTCAGACTGGCCATTCAATAAAACATCACACTTTTCCCTTTCCACACTTGTCCATTTCCAGTTTATTCTTGCATTATACAAAGGAGTATCAAGAATATATATTTCCCACAAATAAATTGTCCAAAGGTCCAGACAAAACTAGGTTTAAACAAAGTTCAAAAGTTTGACCATCATCAGTGGTCAGATGTGGGGAACAGTGCTAGGCTAGCTAAAGCTGTTCTCAGCAAACTCCTCCAGCAGCAGTCCTCCTTGCCTGCATGGGTGTTTTCAACTACACATAATCTAGCATATCCTAGACAACCAACAATGGCTAGAAGTTTAAACATAAGTTTCCAAGGAATATGTACTGTTGACAGTTTTCCAACTCTTGTTTACTGTTTTAAATCAATAGTCTAGATTAACCTACCCTCCTGCCTCACTATCGTGCCCATTCTCAAAGTTTAGAAACATTTTATAATCAAAGCTTCCCCAGGTATTTGACTAGCCCAGCCTTGTTCTGGACATGCAAATGGACAGAAAGTCACAGACCACAGGACTTAATAGCTCCCCAGACTCACCTTGCTGTGACTGGTCCTCCTGTGCCTTCAACTGACTTGTATACAAACTGGTGAACAGGTGCTTGTTTTCATCTTTCCTTTGTGTGGCAGACATGGTACCAACAGTCTGGCTGTGGCTCAGGGATCACTAGGGCATTTTATCTTGGCCAGTCACTAAAATCGTCTTCAGAAGGCACCCAGAAAGAACACAGAGGTACACACAGATCCTACCTTACATGTAAAACATTTACTCCTTAATAAAATGCCAGAAGAGCTTCTCCTAGTCACGATTTCTATAATAACTATTTCCCAGTGTTGCTTCTGCCTATAAAAAAAGCTAACTTACTTGGCTGAAGCAAGACTTAATTCTTACTTCATTTCAAAGCACTCTGAAACTTTCCCCTTTTGTAATGTAAAATCCTACAAAGAAACTTTATATGGAAACAGTTTTAGCCACATTATATTCCGGCCTGTTGATGTGAAGTCCAGTTCCTCCAGTATTTTGAGAGGATTGCTAGAGAAACACATACACAAAGGTGGGGGTGGGCTGGAGGGTGCTGCAGGATTAAATCAAGTTTTCTCCATCTGGTCTGAGTTACCCTCTGTGACGGCTAGATGTGTACAGTTCTTAAAGAAGGCTGAAAGGAGGAGGAGCCAAGTAAGTCTGATTAGCATAAAGAGGCAGGCCAGGAATGGCTTTGGGGTTGCTTTAACATAGTCTCCTAAGCAGGGACTCTAAAGATGCCCTGCAGTTAGAGTAATTAACCACGTGACTTCTGCTCCTTTGTCATTAAAACGCAATCTGAGAGCAGGGGTGTGGGCTGCCTGGATATTCTTGGGTACTTGTGAAACCCTAAAGGTACATCTGGAGCTGGTCGTGAGCTCATGGAAATGTACTGCTGGAACTTTCAGTTTCTGTAAATACCTCCGGGCTTCAGGAGAGGGCAGTTACAGGACAACCTCCCTGTCAAGGCAACTATTTAGAATTCTGGAAGAAAAACAAATGCACAAAATACTGTATTTCCAGAAACTTACCCTCATTTTTCTTTTCTGTCTCTACTGCTACTTCTAGGTTCCAAGACAAGGCTGTTGTGTGATTCCTAAGATTGCTAGTTCATGACTGCTGAAAAACAAATCTCAAACACTTTAGATTTAATTGAATCATAATGAATATGTTGAGCCTCCTGTTCAAGTTTCATAGGTCTTTGTATATTCCAAAAAGGGGTAGTAGGCAGAATTAAGGAAGGTAGAGCTGTTCGTCCTCCAAGTCTGACCCAGAAGCTTTCTGTGCATATTTGGAACCTGGTGCTAAACTTAATCTCCTTACGAGATTACCTCCTAGTGATATCTAAGTTGTGTAGTGAGGGGTGTATTTTTTGTTGTTTTGTTTTGTTTTTGCTGTGAGGCAATTCACAATTTCCCAAGCACATTTTGTTTCTAAAAACTCATGACATCTGTGATTTCTCTTTTATAATTCCTGTGACTTATTGAAATGTTGCTTTTGTTTTGTAGAAATCCTATAAAGATGTGGGTCTAGAAATAGACATTCCTGGGCCTAGCTTTCAAATCTAAGGTATGAAGAAGAATGTGGAATTTATACATATGCAGATTTCTTAAGTCCTCTGTTCCAGGTGAACATAGCCTACTTAGACAGAGCTGGTTTGCTCCCTATTTGATTCATTACACCTTTCCCTGAACTGATGAAGACAAATGAGCACTCTTTAAGCCTCCTGTTTGCACTGTGTTAGGGAATAAGGCTGATGCTGAGGACCCCTTGAGAGTACCATCATGCCATCCTGGGTGGTGGCCCTGTGACTGGTCATCTGAGTAGAGGAGGCCCGAGTTCTGGTACTGCCTGCTGAGTTACTCTTTTGTTCTTGTCTGGTTTGATTGTCCAGGTTCCACTGGAATGAATCCAGCATAGCTGAACTCTATAAGGCAGGAGTAGGTAAAGCACCATCAGAAGTATCAGGACAGGTGTCTCCTTCGAATCGTTCTCCACTCACGCTTTGTAAACACCACCAAGTTAGTTCACAATGAACATGCTGCACTGTATTTTGTGCTTGTTAAAAACAACAACAACAACAAGATGCTGGAATGGTGAAGTCTGATTGGGTCAAGAAATGGGTGAATAATCATTGGTATTTTTACTACAATTTCATTTAAAATGAAGTACAAAGTAAAATTTTTCCTTATCAGTGACATCTTTCCCTCAAAGATCACTCTGTGTGTGTGTGTGTGTGTGTGTGTGTGTGTGCGCGCGCATGCACCCATGCATACATGTGTGGAGGCCAGAGCTCGATTTTAAGTGTCTTCCTCTATCCCTGTCCACTGTATTTGACACAGGGTCTGTCAGTTAACCTCGACTCACTGAATTGGTTAGACTGGATGGCCAGCAAGCCCCAGAGCTGAAATTATAGGTATGTGACACAAGGCCCTGAATTTTTTTAAACATGGGTGCTAGGGAGAGGAACTCATGTCACAATGCGTGCATCAGTCACTTTACCCACTGAGCCATCTCCCCAGCCCCGACTGATTTTCTTAATTTCTATGCCTTATCTTTTCTGTATAACCTATACAGTACCTATATTGTACTCCCAGAAGAGTAAAGTGGAATGATGTTACAGGTAAACAAGCTACCACACTTAGGAAAGATGCTTGAAAATTTGGTATGTAATAATTAGAATTCACAATTTCAGTTGAATAATCTAAATGATATTGGAGGATTTTCCCTCTCAGTTGAACCGCATTTACAAAGCAGGATCACGTGCATTTGACATTACTCCTCGAGTAAGTTAATTGCTTAATTAATACCTTGTCTTGTTTGAAATGTATTTGTGATATCTAGCCTATGGATATATTATGTTGGAGGGTCTTTGAATGAAAGGTGTTATATGACTAAAAGGCAATAGTGATTCAAGGGAGAAAGAGCACCACCCCCTAGAGGATGCTCTTAAATTCTTCATTAAAGAATTTAAGAACGGACTCAAATGGAAACTTTAGGACAAATTTATTAGAATTTTAAAGAAAAGTCCTCAGGGCAGGCAAGCTGGAAATCTTAGCAGCTGCCTTGAGGAGGAGAATGGAGGGGAAAAGAAAGAAGCCATGAAGCTATGCAGGTTTAGAGCCTGCATGGAGGTCAGACAGATGGTGGAGAGAAGGAAGCTTTAGAGAAAAAGAAAAGAAATACAAGATACTAGGGCAGTCCAAGTGTTAGGGAAAGCATGCTTAGATCTCATGAGGGGCTGGAGAGATGGCTCAGTGGTCAAGAGCCCTGACTGCTCTTGCAGAGGACCCATATTCGATTCCTAGCACTCATGGTGGTTAACGACTGTCCATTGCTCCAGTTCTACGGGATCCAATGCCCTCTTGTGACCTCTGTGGGTATTGCATGACACAGGTATACTTAAACACATGCAGGCAATACATTCATACACATAAAATAAAAATAATAAAAGAAAAGAAGAGAAAAGGGATATGAAAAAGAAAGAGAGAGATTATGCTTTTCTGAAGAATTCAGTAAAGTGGGCAGACTTACACAGACAACCACATGACTGTGACTGGGTCCACAAGCACTGCATTAGGAGGTGGGATTCCAGGCAGGAAAAGTTCACTATCTCATTAATGCACTAGGTATTCCACCCATCTATGTAGCTGACTTAAGGTGAACCCACCTTTCTAGGGGTGGTCCCATGAACAGGTGATTGACGAGGGAAACTGGAAAGGTAGGTTTTCCAACGGATAGACTAGAGATTTTTTTTGTGTGTTTTGACCAGTTAATTTTATGGGGCTTTTTGCTACTCTAACAATAGTATGGCATTTAGCATTTTCATTCTCCAAAAATAGGATAAAAGACCCTTAACAAACTGTAAACTTGAAAGCTGGAGAAACTGCACTAGCCTCACTATGATCTTCAAGTTACTATAAGTAATTTAAGGAATTAAGTCGTCATTGTAGTTGAAACTAAGGAATTACTGTTAAGATGTTAGACTTGCTGATGATTGCGAGTAACAAAACCCTTGTTTCTTTATGTAAGCCAGTAATAGATTTTTTTCCATATCATTCATCCTTAAAACATTGACCAAAGACATATTTGAGAATGCTAAGTTTCAGGATCTCAGTGGCATGTGATGTAACATTCCATGTAACACTCCATGTCATACAGCACCCATAAAAGTGGGGTTTGTGTCTATCCAAAGTCATTTTATTCTAAGTTACTCTAAGATTTTTAGCTTTTATAGTTTCCAGATAATATACTTGACTGGATTCCTATTGTTATCATCTGTAAAAACAGAAGATGCATATGGTTTTACTGTTTTGCTTAAATACTTGCTCTCCACAGGCTCAGAAGGTTTAAATGGCATAGTGCCAAAATGCCTACTTATGAAAGGAAACCACTGAACATCAACATTTGGTGGAATTCTGAAATTTCTACCATTGATCCCTAATCCACTGAACATCAACATTTGGTTCTAGGGTATCAAAAATATTGTCTCACTCCATAAACACTGTGTTGGCAGTTCAAAGTAACTTTTATCCTTTTGCTAGTGGGCATTAGATCTGGCTGCTGCAAGGCTCTCTCTGGAGGTCAGCAGAGCCCAACATCAGTTAGCTAAATAGATGTTATATAGAAAGATAAAGAATGGAAGGCATTGTCTAAAAATTTATCTTTATGTATCTTCCTTCATTGGACTAGAACTCATAAAGACTTGACAGACTATATAAGCAAGATATAATCTGAATAATCAGAGTGGAATAAAACAAGAAACTTGAAATTAATTAATTTGGGCAACAAGAGTAATCACCGCATATTAATGAAAGAAATGTTTGTGAAGCAGTAGCAGTTAATTTCAGGATAAGTACTGAAAGTGCTCCCTTAAAATGTGAATTATTTGCCTAGGAAAGACTTTTAAAGACAGATAAGAAAGAGCAGAGCTGGAAGTACCTCGGGACTACTGCTCCCTCCTCATTAGAGACTGCTAATTGGAGGATATCTTTAGGCTGCCTGTCTGTTCCAAATCCATGAACCCCAAAGTGAGATCTGTCACCATGGCCTTATGCATGCATGCAGCCAAAGCTCAGAAGGAGCCTCCTTGGAAAAAAGACTTGCACAGCTGCAGGGGAAAAGTGGACTAGCTTTTTACCCTAATCAGACAGAGAAAATGAGAGAGAGAGAGAGAGAGAGAGAGAGAGAGAGAGAGAGAGTCCTCCAAACAAAAATTAAAAACAAATATTCTTGCTTTCTTTTCATTGGTTTTTAAATTTTCCATTGATTTTTTTGTGCAATTCATACAGTATATCTTGATCATATTTAGATACACCACCTCCACTGTACCTCCTAAAGCACCCCCCCGCCACTGAATTCCATGCATTCTGTCATATATGTTAAGGTCTTTTGAGTCAAGTTTGTAGTTTGTGTCCCCAAATGTCC